GAGCAGCACACGGAGAGTGCAGGTCACACAGAGACTCTGAGTGTAACAACGCAATGCAACCCTTCCTACAGAGAGGAAAAGAAACGCCTCATGCCTCTGCATGAGAGCAGGGCCCAGGAGCATAAGACAAGCTTTAAAATAAGGCATGCTACATACAAAATACCCTTCTTTCCTAAGTTCTACCTCTACAAACAAGAGTCACTTCACACGCACACAAATGCAGCCATACCTACAGGAGACAACACAGTGACATTACGTAGCAGCTTGGGATGGAAATGATGGCATAAGTAAGTGACATGGGGAATCCAGGACATCAGCACAGACTCCCCAGCTTGTGAACTCTGCTGGATGATTTTTTACGAATAAACCAAGGAGACCAGCTTTTGTCGGTCTGAAACTTCCATGTTACTTCTTCCTGGATACCTGCTACTGATGTCCTACCCATCTGTTTACTCAAGGAGATGAAGAAAGATACAGTTTAGCCAAACACACAGAGTACAATTCCCCAAATTCTCCACATACTTCTCATGAACTTTCAGGACGCGATGGACTATAGGAATCTCCCTTCCTTCTATCCTAAAGACGACGATTTCTCCCACTCTGATTGGATCTTCAATTCGGTTCGTGAGGAACAGGAGATCTCCTCTGTGAAATGCAGGCTCCATGCTTCCACTGAAAAAGAGGAGCAGTTGAACAACACTTAAACACTGAGAACCAGGCTTCAGAGCTTATTGTCCTCAAAGAAAAAAAATCTCACAATAACCTCCATGAAAAGCTCCTAAGAAAACCACCTGCACCTGGAGACCAGGAGTGTGCCTAACCTCTACTGCATTCAGACCTTCCATCACCACGCTACCAGCAGCTGAGATTTGTTGGGAGAAGAGCACTGCCAGCAGCCAGCGTTAAAAGCACGCCAAAACAGGAAAAGCCTTCTGCTTTCTTAATAACAACAAGACTCATGATAAGCAGCGTCTTCTGGAGTTCTGAACTCTCCATTGGTGGGGCTACACTGGCAGCACTGCAGTGGTGGGCAGCTTGCTTTCACTTATATGTTATTTTTCGCAGGTAGAGAGATCATCCTCACGAACAAAGCACTGAAAGCATACAGGCTCTTGTAATCCCATCTGGAACAGACAGAAGGGTGTGCTAGAAATTTGCTATTGTGATTCATTGCTTTGCTTAACGATCTCACTTCAGACACTGCTATTCAAGCTATTTTTCTCCTGTCTTGTAAATGGCAATTGTTACAAAATACTTAACCTTCTAATTCCAAATAAATAATGCAGTACAAAACAGAATGATGAACTTTAAGTACCGCATACATGCGTGTTTTATCTCGAGATGGTGCCGAAGCTGCTATTCAGAATAGAAGATCACATCGCTGAAGAAGGAACGTGACCTAATGAACCCTGTCTTACTGGGAGGAACAGCGCAAAAACATCTCCATACATGCGTGTTTTATCTCGAGATGGTGCCGAAGCTGCTATTCAGAATAGAAGATCACATCCCTGAAGAAGGAACGTGACCTAATGAACCCTGTCTTACTCACTGGGAGGAACAGCGCGAAACATCTCCCCCTGGACTTCACAGGCCCATCAGGAGGGAACAGGGACACCGCTCGGTTTTATTTAGTGGGAGTTCTGTTGAATGGCGTGCAGTAATTAACACAGGCGTAGAAACACAACGAGGCCACCGTGGCCACAGAACAGGCGCCGTGCAGTATCGGACGGCTGCTCCCTCTGGCACCGGAGTTCGCCCCAGGCACTAGAAGGGTGGGAATGACACTGGTGGTACCTACTGCACAGGACTTCTGCGAAGGCAACACGCAACACCTACAACATATCTAGTTACAGAGCGATATCCCTTATTTTCAGCCACACGTACAAATAGGTATGGCTACAGCTTCCCTTTTCCTGGCCGTGTTACAACTCACTGGAAGGCCAGTGAAAACAAACAGCTGTGAACAATGAGTTAGTGGATACTTTTAAGGATGCAACCTAACACATAATAATGCTTACTGGGCACTTCAGCAAGCCAGTTCCCATTTCAGAAACCGAACAACTCCTTTTCACTATATGAGTTAGCTGGTGTGTCAAAGATTTCCACTTCCTTTTCACTAACCAGAACTCACCACATACCTCAACTGTTCCTGTAGCAGCACCAAGGCATGCGGACAGGCACAGCAGGTGCCAGTGCACTGCCATGTTCTGCTACCCCAACTTCTACTATGGAAAGTGCCATTAGCCCTCCTAACAAGACACGCTTTGCTGCAAACACTGCTTTTACACAGGGACGCTTTGCCAGAGCAATGGGTTCATCACTTGTGTCTGACCCCCTGCTTCAAGACCTTCCTTTTCCAAGCCTCTTTCACCCACACCACTGAGCATTTCTCCAGGAGCTTTGGTATGATTCAGGTATGTGTGGGTTGTGCTCTCACCCTACTTCTTAGAAGCCCGTCCTCAGGACCACCTCTCTAACATACAAGCCAGCCAGCTGAGAAAAGCGAAAGGGAGAGATGTTATTTTGCATACGGCTGCCAGCCATGCTTACCTGCTTCCTCTTCCCTCGCTGCTCCTCTGCGTTACA